ATGCATGGATCAGACATCCTACCCGTAAGAAGCTATCCAGGAGAAGATGCAGACTCTGATCATCTACGTGTAAGATTTAAATATTAGCAGAGATTAAGCATAATTCACGATGGCCGAAATAAAAATGATATATGATTACCAAAAACTTACCAAAGACCCTCTAATTACAAAAGCTTAACAAAATGAAATAGAAGCACAACTAGATGCATCACAGGAGGAAATAAACAGTGATAAGATAAAATATGCGATGAAAATATCAGCAGAATAAGTGGTAGCGTTTCCAGCAAAATAAAATTAATTGAAGAAACAACTTATTGACAGAGCACACACTGCTCGGTCTAACTGAATTTCATAAAGGATAACCGATCATACGTAAATGTTCCACACATGTAAGTGTGTAAGCAACCAAAATGCGTGCTTTATCAAAAGTTCACAGTGGATGCGTTCAAAATCAGGCGACCTTTAATTAGGTCAGAACAAAAAACGTGATCTACATTCTAAAAAAATTGACCATTCCATTGATCACAAATACGATATGGATGGGCGATGGCTTAGTTCTTCAGTACATTTACTTCCAGACATTCATATAATTTGGTTTTGTTCTTGTCATGGTTATACGGTGAACTTAGTTTCAAAAGAAGAAATCCATCGTGGGGGGGGGGGATGTTGACACCATTAGTTTACAAGACCGGAAAACATCAACCCTAGCTACACCACTGCTAAGATATATCTTTACACATATATATATATATATATATATATATATATACCGTGTTTGTATTTATTCTTTAAAAAATTTTAAATATAAAAAGAGTTAATTACTGTTCAATGCCACCATTTAAATCTTAACTTGCTGTTTTATTTTAATTTTAATACAATATCATAAGTATCTCTTTTTACCTCCCCACAGAGTCTAAATGCTGTCGACCGATTATAGGTTTTCGTGCACACAGGAATTTAGTTCCCTCCGAAGGAAATGTCATTTTAGAAAACTTCGATAATGTTAAATTTAACAATGGAAATAACTTTAATCCAGAATCTGGTGAATTTACTGCTCCATTCAGTGGATTGTACTTGATTAGCATCAGTGGTAAACTTGCTGAAAATAGCCTGATTGTTGTTGTAAGTTTTACAGAACCTGAGCCTGTATTATGTTCTTTGTCTGGAAACCAGACAATAACAAGATGTTTTGAGCTGCGGGTAGGAGATATTATTGCCCTTCATTTTCGAAGAAATGAGGAAAAGACAACAACGTTGGTTGATTTTTCTTGTTTTTTTATAAAATGATAACAACAAATTCCTCTCCTTCACTTCCAACACCACCACACCCTCTCTCTCTAGCTCTCTCACTCTCTTTCTTCCTCTTTCTCTCTTTTTCTTCCATTTTTCTCTTATTTCCAGCCTCTCACTCGCTCTCTCTCTCTCTCTCTCTCTCTCTCTCTCTCTCTTCAATAGTCTTTTACGCTTTTTTGGTATCGCATTGATGGATGATGTGTTTTCTTAGAAGTTTGACTAACCCATCTCCGTCACATCATCATTCTTGCACAGGAGTCAGTGTCAGATTAAGAACCTGTGCGAGACCTAAGGCGGGGAACATTTTGCAATAAAAAAATGCGATTTAAGACTACCTGCGCCAAAGAAGCATTCCTTGTCACCGGATCCCTGGGCACGTGCCTAAATTGATTTTAGGTTAATCATCCCCGCCATAAGATTAATTTCTTATACCCTTTAAAATTAAACATTGCTTAAAGAATTATTTTTTTTCTAAATCATGAGTTTATAATTAGCTATTTTCTTAATATTTATTTTAGTAGCTGAAGTTCACTGACCCATATAGTGAGACAAGTTTATATCATTACTTTTTTTAAACTTACTTTTAGCTAAATTAAATGTATTCACTATATAATTGTTGTATTAATTATAACAGTAAATTTAATTAAATAGCATTTGTGTTCGTTTTACATTTTGTCACAATTTACATGCAATATTATTTCCCAGTGTTATTACTAAGTATATAAACACCCTTTTTAGTTTTAAAAAAAGTTTAAACTTCAGCAATTTTATTAACCGATTCAATAAATCCTGTAACTTAGTTGCGATATAAATTTCTCTTTCAGACATGCCAAATAAAAAAAAGTATTAGTCATCGGCAAATGGGAAGTACCACAATAATATTACACACTGTGAAAAATCATAAATATTTCTTTGGACTCTAGGATTTTATCTATACTGCAATGATAGTTTGTAAACAAAATCAATTTGAAATAGCGTGCCCTTTAAAATCCAAAAGAACATTTGGGGTTTATAATAAAAGACCATAATAATAATCCTTAGAAAATAAATGTGCCCAAGTAAATAAAATAGTCATCATACAACATTTCCAGGATTTTAGGTAAATAAAAGTGTAATAATAAATTTGGAAAACCTGTAATGTTTGAGGACACATTTATCCCGGTATTATTATTATTTTTTTTAAAAATTAATAATTCAGCATTTAACAGTTTTTTTAAATGTTGAATTAGAGTAGGCCTATTTATATATTTATACGTAACATTTAAGCTCTCGCGTTTTCCTGCATAATATCCACAGAGAATATTAAAACGTCAACAGATAGTGTATTTATAAACGATAAAAATATAACTTACCCTTTTGCAATTGGAAGATAGCATACACTCCTCCATACACACACGCACGCAAGCGTACCCAGTGCACTTGATCGTATCATAATGGTACGTAATATGCTACAATGCGTTTGTGGATTTTATCAAATATTAGGCATTTGATGAACAAACTACAAATGTATCGGTTACCATAAATTAGTAGGAAATCATTTTGTTCGAAGCCAATAAGTAAAGATGAATATTGTTAGATCCGAACATTTTTTGGAATGAAATATTGTTCACAAAGTATCACTATAAGCCAGGAGCAAAAATATAAATAAATAAAGTTAAATTCGCTATTGATCTATAGTATATAGACTCTCAATCATTTTCAATTCACGAAATTTAAATAGAAGCAAAATGACCCCGAAATGATTAAAGAAAAAAAATTTTAAGGTGCTAATGCTATTGAAACTACTTTTTTTTTTTTTTTGTTTAAGTGATAGCCTTTTATTAGCTACATAATGAATGTAATGTTTGAGTTTGAAATTCAACGCTTAAGACATACGTTTAGAATGAAAACAGTTTAGAGCGACTGCAAAATGACCCCGAAATGATTAAAGAAAAAAAATTTTAAGGTGCTAATGCTATTGAAACTACTTTTTTTTTTTTTTTTTTTATAAGTGATAGCCTTTTATTAGCTACATAATGAATGTAATGTTTGAGTTTGAAATTCAACGCTTAAGACATACGTTTAGAATGAAAACAGTTTAGAGCGACTATTTATTTTTCTTAGTTAATTATTTTAGCCGTCGACAGTGCAGATACCATTTCGCAACCTCATTAGTTTCCCATGGGCTGGGATCACATGCTCTAATCGCTTGAGTATTCAAGGCTCTTCAGCCTATTCTCGTCCAAACAACATTTTAAATAACAAAGACGGGTTTTTATTGAGGTAAATATATATAGATATATATATTTAATGATTTCTTTCTCTTTCTATATTAACCAAGTAATATACACATAAACATTTTAATGAACTATTTTTTTAAATTTGTTTAAAGGAAATTTTAATAAAAATAATAGAATTATTATACTATACTGATTATAATATTATACGGCCTTTGCAAGACTATTGGCGAGTGGGACTCTCAAATGGCCGTGGTGGTATTTTATTTGTGAAGATAACCGGTTTTCAGAACTTAGGGGGATGCGTGCTGATGAATCTTGTTCCCGGAAGGGACAACCATTACAGCTACACGCCTCTGATTCGTATCCTCCCTTGGGAAATACCGATATAAAACTTACATTAATCTCGTTCACCCTCCATAAGCAAAACTCCCGGAATTGGGAATTAGTAACTTTCGAGAAATTCCGATATTACTGTAACTTTAATTTGAAGAGAGATATTCTTGGTGGAACACCACATCTTGCTTGTTGTTAGTTTTCTGTTACTTTTTCGGTTTTAAAGTTCAAACGAAAACATATAGTTATTAAAATTTGATAATTTTCCTTGTTTACTTACGAATACTCACAAAAGTATAGTAGGCCTACTTGTTTCAGTCTCATGACTTATGACATAATACATAGGCCCTAGGCCGAGATTTTTGGCTAAGCTCAAGTAGTTTACTTGAAACTGGGGCGACTTTTATTTTTGTTCATGTTTGACTTGATACCGTTCATAAAGTTTGTTACAATTTTTTTTCTATTTGGCATTTATGTACGTACTTGTAAGCTGATTTGCATACAGTATAATGGGTTTAAAAGGAAATTTCTAAACCTACTTAGTTTTAAATATAAAAATAAATAATTAAAAACTAACGTTAACTTTAAATCACTCCTTGGTATAGGCTAATTTATTAAAAGATGCTATCTTTTTTTTTTTAAAGCTTACACTGTTAAAAAACCTGCTTCGGGTTAATGAAATGTTAAATTTGTAAAATATGTAAATTATTTTATTAATTGACTCCTTACAGGAATTTTTTTTTTTGGATAATTTTGCATCTTTGAAATAGAGTTTCAAACTACAAAAAAAAAATCCATTAACACAAGTGGTACTTTTTTAACCAAATTATCTTTAGAAAACTAATATTTTTGCACTTTAGACATAGTACATCAAAAGTTATTAGTTTCTATCGATTGGTGTTGTTTTTTTAAGTCTGACTAATTTAAAATAAAATTTCCTGCAATTTTTATTTATGAATTTTTCAATTATTTCAACAGTTTTAACAATTAGTAACAATAAAATAAATAAATATATTTTATATTGTATATGTATATATATATAAATATATATATGTATATAAAATAAAAATAAAACTCTAATGCTGGGTAATTAACAGCTACAAAAAAATATCAACTTACAAAATAATTGACAGCAGGATGGAACTAGCTCGGAGAATGGATACGTTGCTCAAACAACAACTTGAGATTTTGAAAATAGAAAGTGATACCGTAAAAAATATCATGGATGAATTTGTCAATAAGGTAATAATCTATGTTCCATATGAACAACATCATTTTTAGATTGAAGATTTAAAAAAAACATATTTAAATCAATATAAAATATTTTTTTTTTAAATAAATAAATAAACACGCGTTTGTCAGCTTGTTTTTATTAAGACGTAATGCATGACCCTCTGCCTGTTGTTTTCATGTGATGAAATCATAAGAAGATCGTTGAATCGGATACATGTCTAAGTAACACCAAACACAAATTAGTAACTATATGAATAAATTATGTATGATGGGGAAAAAAAGTCTGGAAAGAAAATCCTTAAGGTTGTTAACTTATTAAATGGCATTGTTAATGTTTGTGGTTTAATAATGCGTCTAAATTTGTGTCTAGATACATTTAAGTGTACGCGCGGAACTTGACCATTTGACTAGCACAGGTCAACTGAACCATGTAAGATTCCAGGAGGTTTACAAAAACATCCAACAAGCCATTACCTTTGTCATTATGAAGACTTTTGAAATTTCTGGTAAGCGTTAATAAAAAAAAAAAAAAGAAAACGTTTTATAGTTTACATAGTAACACTGTTTTTGTCTTAGTATGTTTTTACTCCCTTTCACCTATCTCATGAATTCAACATACACGGGCGTAGAAAGACAGTGGCATTGGTAGGTGACTTTTTTTTTAGCTGTATCTGAGTTCTACTGCATATACTAAATATGAAAAATGCCTGAAACTTATATATATATATATATATATATATATATTTATATAAACATATTTATATATATTTCGTTATTGACGAACGTTCGAACCTTGTGAAAAGAAAAAAAAATAGTTTGTGCAATAAATATTTGAAAGCATGAATGTGCTCATCTATGAATTTGAAATTTAAATTATTATTTTTTCTCTATCTGACGGTCTAGAAGTTAATGTGAGGGAGAATGATGTAAACCCACATTCTCTGTCAGAATCAGTTGTTTCCTTAAAGAAAACATCTACTGCAAAAACAGATACAACACAGGCAACGTTGCCTTCAAACGATGAAAAACGCTTAGATAAATCAGGTAATGAGTGTAATAAATGATATAGTCTTTTTCTCATTTTTATCAATGTCGTGGAGTTAAGTTAATAAATTATTATTTTTTTTTTTAAATAGAGCTGTTTTTTTTTTTTAAATAAATGTTATTATTTAGCATAAGTAACATAGTGGCATATTTTTAAAAATAAATAATGTATGACAGCTTATATGACGGGACGTATTCAGGATGCAAATGTGAAGCTTGTTTCTCTAAATAGCCTTTTGTTTTCTGAAAAAATGCTTCATGTTGGCTTCGTGCTGCATCAACAATTTATTTAGAAAGGAGCTCCTGGGGGCTCGATCCTTTGTGTATTGGTGTGTAAGAATTTATGCAGAATGCTTTCAGTGACACTTTCTCTGGGTCTTTAGAGCTTTAATACAACAGCAAACCGCTTGCCGAAATAAATGTCAAATAATGTATGACATTGTTTATTATTTTTACAAAATATGATCACCAGTTTCAATATCCTTCTACATCAAGACATTATAGCTTTAAGATGAATGAATTTGTATTCTTTCATGTTGATCCACAGTTTTAACGGTCGATATTCAAAATATGACAAGAAGGATGACTGTTTTGGAAGAAGCTGTGGTCTCAATGAAAAATACAACAAATGCAATTCAAGAAAAACAAGACAATGCTGATAAACTAATAAAAGAAATTTCTGGAGAAAAAAAAGAAATTTTGGACAAGGTTTTAAATGATGTCAAGATTCTGCAAACAAATGTTGCTAGGTTACAAAAAGAGTTAACAGCAGAGCAAGAAAATGCTGACAAAAAATTTGAGGTTTTAAGCAACACACATTTGAGATTTAAGAACAAAACTCAAGAAAGAATTAAAGAAATTGAGAAAAAAAGTGAGGCCATTTCTTCAAATGTTGATGATCTGTTAGAAAATGAAATGAAAGTTGATTCCAGATTAAGCAAATCAGAACAAGAAATTAAGTCTATCAGTGCTTCACAACATACTTTCAATAAAGAAATCAGCTCTGTTAGAACTTGTAGCAATGACGCCCTAATGTCTATACAAGATTTGACAAAGAGCGTCGAGGGTACAAATCAACATTATAATGAGATGTCCAATAAAATTAATGAGTTAGAAATCTTAATTAATCTTAAGTCAACTCAGTACACAGAGCAGTTTGAAAATATGCGCAGTCTTAATAATGATAGAGTGGACGATTCGGTAAGTAATGAACTTTTTTTACATCTTGTTTTGAAAATGTTGCAGACTTTAATTTTATAAATGTATTAATTGATAAAGTTTTAAACTAATTCGATTCAAATTAAATCTATTTCTTTTCTTTGTTATAGCTTCTTTTTTTATAAATATATATATATATATAAATATAAACATATATATATATATATATATATATATATATATATAGAGAGAGAGAGAGAGAGAGAGAGAGAGAGAGAGAGATATATATATATATATATATATATATATATATATATATATATATATATATATATATATATTATTAATTGATAAAGTTTTAAACTAATTCGATTTAAATTAAATCTATTTCTTTTTTTTGTTATATCTTTTTTTTTTATAAATATATATATATATATAAATATAAACATATATATATATATATATATATATATATATAGAGAGAGAGAGAGAGAGAGAGGGAGAGAGAGAGATAGATATAGATATAAATAGATATAGATATATATAAATGTATATATGTAAATATATTTCACTGAACCAAAAACGGCAAAAATACATTTTACTATTTTGGAAGGCAATTTGCTGGTCGCAGAAGAAACGCTTTAATGACAACCTAAATTTTCACTAAAAGCAATCAATAAAACCAAGTTTACGTGGGAAGAATTGGCAAAGTTTAGAACAACGTGGCATAAATACTCCTTACAAAATGAAGCAAACGCAAAATGGCAGCTGCAGAGCAAACAATTTCAAACCAGGGAAGCTTTCGTTAACCCTGCACGTAGAGATGACCCGTCTAATCATGTGTACCTTCCGAAAAGAACATTTTGTGCCAGAATCGGTCTCATCAGCCCTCTGCTCGTCTATAGACACATCACGATTACTTATTTCGACGTAGCAAACTAACTTTTCTTTTCATTACAAATACACTCGGTTGCTTTATTGTTTGTGCACATTTTAACACAATTTGCATGTTTTTCAGATTGGTGTGGTGTGTCAACTGGTCGCTAAAAGATTGAATCAAATTGAAAACTTAAAAGAGGCTCTAAACAAAATATCGACCACAAAAACTCCACTATCGTTGAAGGTAATTTTAAAATATTTTGAAATGTAAAAGTTTAATTTGATAGTAAACCAGCCCAGACCCCCACAATTTCGACCGCCTTTTTTTTATTTTTATTTTTTTTTCTGTTGCTACCTATTTTTCGAATTTGCATCATTTCGGACTGCAAATAAGGACTGATAATATGTAATGCGATACAACACTTTTTTTTTAAAAAATAATGTCAAAAGTCTTATTTTGTTCCCCTATAAAGTTATCAATAGTGTTGATTTCTAGAACGAGGCTCTTTAGATTGTTTACATAAATTAAATAGCCTTTATTTTCTATATTGTATAATATTTTATTTTTAAATCTCAGCTCTTTTTCTTAATAATTTAAAAAGTTGTGAAATATTTTTTTTTGATGTTCCATTCAAATGACATGCTAAAATTCTATGTGAGATATGTTCATTTATTTGTTAACAACCCTTATTTAAATACTAAATAACATTGTCTAGAGTTTATGATAAATTTTACTCCAAATCTTAAGTTTTTTATAAATTATTTACAACTCAAGTTTAACTCGGACTCATCAATACGACCTACTTTCAAGACGTCTATTCTGCTGATGATGATTCATAACAAGCCATAGTATTAACTTCCATACACACAAAATGTCATGAACTAAAAGAAACCTTAGAACAATTTCTTAATAGAATGATCTCTTTCCAAAGCCGCGATAACTTGACAAACAAAATATTTAAAACATAAACGACACGAATCATTAGAAGCATCGTGATATAGGATCAATGGAAGGCACAGGATTATGTTGAACTGTTGTAGACTTTGATTGTCTGCTTTTTCCTTCGAGTAAAAAGAATCCTTACCTACTAGTATGTAATTTACATAATAATTACCCTTTTTTTATCTAAATGAATCATTTATAGATGGATGGTATTAAAAACCAGTGTGAGGATTTATCAAATAAAATAGTTCAAATTGGTAAGTTAATATATGTATATATTTTAAAAAAAAATAATAATTTACCCTGGCAAGACTATTAACATAAATAATCTACCGTTGCTTTTTGTGTTGTTTTACTTTTAATTATTCAAAGTATTGATTGCATTAAAGTTAAATATTGATTTAATTTCAAATATACGGGAATACACCGGTCCTTTTAATAAGATGGTAAGAAAGCATTCTTTATTGATCCAAATAAATGGAAATGGTTTTAACTACATTTTAAATATTACTTTTCAGCACATTAAAAATGCATATTTAAACCAAGACATTATTTTAAAAGTATAACAATTTTAACACACGACATTTAACGTATTCTTATTCGTAGAAATCAGTTTTTAAAAAAACTCCAGCAGTAACAATAATGACCTCATCAGTGATCATATTGATTTGGGATACGCTGGCAGAGAACACTAGTAAATTTCCACCGAATGGGGAACATAATTTTTATACGTAATATTTTAGACATGTTTCAATAATATATATATATATAATATATATATATATATATATATATATATATTCTTCATAATGTGGTTATTAAATATTAAAATATATAGCCGCTTAACAATAAATTTTAAAAAGGCGTAATATTCGTATTTTATTATTTTCACAGAATCAAAATGTTTCCTTCCAAATGTCGGATTCTACGCCTGGCGTGTATTTGATTTCGAAGTTGGTAGTTATAATGTAGAAAACTTTACCAATAGTGATGGTAACTATGGTTATCACTTTGATTCAATATCTGGGATGTTCACTGCTCCATTTAATGGCTTGTATTTGATTAGTATCAGTTCGAAACTTGATGACGATAACAGAATTGACATTACAAAGAAAAGCAGTTGCCAGGCTGTTAGCCTTCCGGGAAAATGTTTGTGTTGTTTTCGTGGAAGCCAAACAATTACCTTTTGTGCTGAGCTGAAAGTAGGTGAACGGGTTTCCATACATGTGACAATAAGGAAGAAAGATATGGGAAAATGTATTGAATTTTCTTGCTGTATGATAAATGGATATACAAAAATATAATGCACTTTTTTTTTAAAAAATCGATCTATCAAGAACTAGTTATACGCACACAAAAAAGTAATTGGAGACTAATTAAAAAATTCTAACACATCTGCACAGACTTTCTTTGCATAATGCATTTTACGGAATTTTAAATTATTTTGTCCGTTTCAGTGCATTTTAACTCGACTTTGACAGATTTTTTCCCTCCACATTTTAGTGTTACAATTCAATGAATTCCATCCCTTAAATTGTCGAAAAAAAATAATTATTTACTTTTAAACCTCGAATGTTTTAAAAGTCCATGTTCAATGTTTAACAAGTCATAAAAGTAGATCTGAACACATCCACCCACGGCCCCTTTCACTCAGCGAAGCAGACGCGTGTCAGCCATAATAGTATTGAGCGACAGGTTCATCACGCCTCCGTCATCCACCTGTTTTACCAGGTGGACACAGCCCGAGAAATCTTACAATGTCACGTGTGTCACATACAGATAACGCTCCACCCACACACAAGATGGAAATGCGAGTAAAAAGAACGTTTATAATAAACAGAAAATATATGTGTCACAGATCAAATATTGAGATAATAATTTTCTTTCGGATGAAGTACTGTTTTTGTATTTAGGATTAACAGAAAGTGAATTAGAGAATATATGCCATGCCCAGACGTTACAAGAGGAAGTGTCATGGACGTAAGATTGAGATAAGATAGACGATAGGCGCTCGCCATACATCTCATCGCATCGTGTTACTTATTCCATAGATATGTGTGAAATTTATATGTGAAATGATAAGACACTATCCATTATGTTTCCTCCAATTTTTATATGTTTTTAATACAGTACGAAGTGTGATTTCTATCAAATAAATTTATTTGATGCGAAACTCGTGAAGTTGGCCTCATGCTTTTAAATAATTATTGACGTTTGTGAATGTGGATAAATACTACAACATAATAATAAAGTAAAAAACAACAACAACGTTATTATTACACAACTAGCGAGAACCCGGCTTGCGTTTCAATGCTACTCAAAGAAAAAAAAGTTGTTTGTTTTTTTTTAAATTACGTTTTTTGAAGTAATTTTTAATTAGAAAATATTTGTTGGTCGTTCCGTCTAGTACACCAATAAATTAGAAGGTTTTTCGACGAATTAGCAGACCACATACATGCAGCAGCTATGTTTGTAATTAAAATTATATAGCTCACATCATAATTTTTATTATGTCACACAAACTGAAATGTCGCTTTTATTCCATTCATTTCCGTCCACTTAAGTTTGAAATTATGTGTGTATACAATAGAACGATAATTTAGGGACTCCAGCAACAAAAGGAATATTTAAAAATGAATAGCATAATTCAGAAACTTTTTCGGGCGGGCGCACAACAATTTAACAAAATATCATGGCACTCGTATGAATGGTATTGGAAAGCATACGGAAATAATATTTAGCACATGAAATTTAAAAAAAAAGAAAAGAATTCAGGACCTTGGGCAAAAAACGGAATATAGTAAAATGTGTGTAATTATTGAGAAAAATGTGGGCATATGCACAACAAATCACACACGTTTTATCGCAGTCGGTAGAATGATATAAGAGCGCATATGGTACATACGTACATACAATAATTTTTTAATATGTTTAAATATAATTTATCTAATAAAATATACCTTTTGCGCAACTATTCAAGGAACCGTTATGTCTGCCATCCATCAATTCATTCGTACGTCCATCCGTCCATCCACCCATCAATCATTCACTAAATCACTCACTCTACCTTCCTACCTACTAACCAAAAGCTATTACCCATCATCTTGTCTGTCTGTCTGTCTGTCTGACTGTCTGTCTGTCTGTCTGTCTGTCTGACTGTCTGTCTGTCTGTCTGTCTGTCTGTCTGTCTGTCTGTCTGTCTGTCTATCTATCTATCTATCTATCTATCTATCGATCTATCTATCTATCTATCTATCTATCTATCTATCTATCTATCTATCTATCTATCTATCTATCTATCTATCTATCTATCTATCTATCTATCTATCTATCTATCTATCTACCTACCTATCTACCTACCTTTCTACCTACCTATCTACCTATCTATCTTTCTATCTTTCTATCTGTCTGTCTATCTGTCTGTCTGTCTGTCTGTCTGTCTGTCTGTCTGTCTGTCTGTCTGTCCGTCTGTCTGTCAGTCTGTCTGTCTGTCTGTCTGTCTGCCTGCCTGCCTGCCTGCCTGCCTGTCTGCCTGCCTGCCTGCCTGCCTGCCTGCATGCCTGCCTCTTTGCATGCCTGCCTGCCTGCCTGGCTACCTACCTACCTACCTACCTACCCATCCATCCATCCATCCATCCATCCATCCATCCATCCATCCATCCATCCATCCATCCATCCATCCATCCATCTGTTAACGTCATTGATTTTCTTAATTGGTTAAATCAGAATATAGCATATCTAGCATATATAGCAAAGGTTAATTTTTAAATACTTTATAAATTTCTTAAATTAAAGCATATTTTTTTGAAAGAATAAAAAGCAATAACTTATTAAATGTTAAAATGCAAAGCTAAAGTTGTATTTAATTTTTTTTTAAATAATTTTTTCAATTTAAAAAGCAATCTGTTACATTTATTCATTTTAACTTTAAAAAGGTTAAAATACGTATCACCTTTGTCATGCATGGTTATTAAATGAAAGAGCTGTGACTAAAATAGACTGTTGCTCTGCCTTGTCATTCGAGTAAATATTTAGATCAATTTATTTCTATTTTTATTTCGCAATATTAACAACGCACTAAAAACGCGCTAAGAATAAAAGATTTTTGGGTTTTCCCAATGCATGTGATTAAGATGCAATTCTTAGGTCATAATATTTTAATTAATAAACTTTTCATAACATTTACATTCGGATAAAATGTTTCAAATAGTTTCTAAGTTGTTAATTTAAATATATTTATAATTTATTAAATAATGATATTTAAACTTTTGCTAAAAGAAAAGCAGAAATATAAAAAAAAAATTGCACACTTAAATTTATTCAATTTCCTTAAAATAATTTTTTTAAAATAGATATGATTGTTTTTAATATTCCGAACGTATCTACAAATTTTCGTTCTTTGGAGTTACGTCAGTATTGCTCATTCTTATATATATAGTTACAGTATGGTTGTATGGTTTATGTTTCCTCCAATTTAGGAGATGTGTTTTATACAGCACGATGTGTAATTTCTATCAAATAAATGTATGTGATGCGAAATTCATAAAGTTGGCCTCATGCTTTTATATAATCATGGACGTTTGTGAATGTGGATAAATACTACAACATAATAATACAGCAATAAATACAACTAACAAACAAAGTTATTGTTACACAATAGTTACAGTATGGTTGAATGGTTTGTGTTTCTTTAGTTTACACGAATGTTCGTCCAACTCATTAGTCAAATGAGAAAAAAATCAGCCGGCAGGACGATTAAAAATATTTTAGAGCCACATTTCTTATCAAAAGCCATGTCTTTTCGGAGTCAAACCCGATGTGCGGCCGGCTTGCTGAGCCACACTCAGGATGCTAAAGAGCCACATCTGGCTCGCAAGCCGCAATTTGCCGACCACTGGATTGCACACATGTTTTTAAAACAAATCTGTGCACATTTGTTTACGATCTAAAGTTAATGTAGTTAATTTTCAATTCACAATATCCATTTTATTTGGAGTTAAAACTTTAAGATGTGGGAAAACTGTTATGTGGAAACAATATGTTTTAATATAAATAATGTGCTAAACAAATTTACTAAGACATTGCTTTGACATTTATTAGATAACGGAATGATATTTTTTAAAAATAATTTTAATTAAACTTTTGAAAATTAAAAAGACACGAGAACTGTTATTTCTTAAAAGCTGTTCTTATTGTATGACCATAAACGGCCATTCCGCACTAGATTAAAGACACGGAATTTGTATGCACGTAATAAAATCAACCTCTAAAAATTTTTCGTAAAAAATTCCATTATAGGAATGTTTTCAGCGACTTAGCTTTGGTAATATTTCTTAAGAAACCATGCATCATATCTCCTTTATTTGTCTTTTTAAAAAAAAAAATTGGAACGGCTTTTTAGTGTTTTAAAGCCAAAACTAAGTGGGTCGGATAATTAATAAACGGACATATAAATGACATTTAAATATTGAAATCTTTTCACAAAACTTTTGAACGTTGTACAATATAACAGAGCAAGAATACTTAGAAATTAATTCTTTAAAAAAAAAATTGATAATATATAAGTACTGTAAGGTATGAGAAATAAAATATTTTTCTATGTGTAATTGTTTTCATCATTTAGCAGTCGCTTTTTTTGGTTGTTTTGTTTTTAAATTTTCTTTTCACTTATACATAACAATTTATGACTCTCGCTTTTTTCAATTAGCCGTAAATATATAAGGGTGCAGCATGACAGAAATCAAAACATGCTAACTTTAACCATATCCCACTATTCCCCACAAAGGCAGACATTAGCTTACATGGATTAAAGCTGTGGGTAAAGATCTACAACAGCTAGGAATCCAAGCATGGAAAAAAGCATCAGTTAGGTCTGAGTGTAAGGAAGTGGTAAGGCAAACCAAAATCCGTCTTATGTTGTAGCCCAAAAAGGATTGATGGGTGTACTCCTATTAAGTCGCATCGCATGGTGACGGGAACACATTTTCTGATAACTTGATTATTTCAGGCTGTTCTTGTCCAAATCTAACTTTCTATATTACTAGCTCATTCTTGTATTTAAAAAAAAAAAATTATATTAAGTGTCATTAGCGTGTACTCATGAATTTAAGACCCTGTCAAAAATACTTTGCTGAAGTAAGACTAAGTATTGAAATGAAAAATGTTTCTCCTTAAAAAAAATCCAGATTTGTAAAAATTCATTGATGTAGCTCACAAAATCAAACCCCGAGCGGGATAAGTTTTGTTTAAAAAATCAAGCTCCATCAGAATTTCCTTCAGGATGATCAAATGCATAACGTTATATCCCAAATTAAATAATGATCCATTATGCGGCACGAGCAGGTACATTTTTGTCAAGTATGTAGAAGAAAATATTACCAGAAACATTTATATATGAATATTCGTTATCTTAATAAGATATTGAAATTACAATTTTCTTATATTTAAGAAATACAAGTACTTAAACAACATCACTTATATAGTGATGAATACAGTTATCAGGTTAAATGGTCTTTCCTACGTTTATAACGGAGCACAAACGTGCCGTCAATAACATCAGAAAAAATTTCAGACATAAAATAAGTGTGTGTGGCAATTAGGAAGCTGATAATGAATTTAGAACATGTAGATACTTTTATATAAACAATGGAAAAGAACTATAAACTTAAAATCGCTTCATATGTTACAAATTTTGCTTTTGAGTCATTGCTGCTCTCATAAACAGCACCAATTTTCAGGAAGGTAATTCCCCAAAAGATTCAGACTTGACTTATTCGTTAATTTAAATTATAAATTTTTATCTATGCATTTTCCTATTAATGTTTTTTACATTTCAAGCGTGATGAAAATTGTATTTGATGCTTTTGAACAATATCTCCAAACCCGATTATGTTAAGATTCAAATTTAATTTAGAATTTAATCTAAAAAAATGAACCATATTCCTTGATTATACTAAGAATTTGAAAAAAAATAAAATGAAGCATCATGCGTATTATTGATAAGCATGGCGTAGCGAGGGTGTTTGACGCCCGGGGACAAGATTCGCGCCCGGGGACAAAATCAATTTTAAAGCGCCCCCTTTTCTTTTTTTTTTCAATTGTAAAACCCATTATTTTTAACAATAATATAAGAT